ACAGTTAGTAGTCAGCTTACGTCACAAGCACTTTGGCTCACCGACCTATGTCCCTTGATTCTTGTTTAACTGACTTCGGCATCTTTATGCATGAAGACGTAGAAGACGACAATCGTAAAGAATAACACATCCGTGACATTTTCTATAATACTACTTACAAGTTACAACGTGAAGGAATGTTTGTTTGCAAATCGTTAGAGCACCACAGTATCTCGAACATGTCAACGCTCATCTCAGAGCTACTCAGTCGGTGATATTTTGCTTTCTTTCCAATGCAACATTATTCCTGGGTTGTTAAAGGCCTCTTTACTTCTTGACAAGTATTTGCTACATATTTCTAATGTTTGATCGATTAGTTTTTCAGCTGATCATACAGGTTGTTTACAGTAATGGTGACTGTACTTGCTAGAGAAATCACTCTCCAAGAATGTTCACTCTCACCTGTATTTCCCTTATCGTTTCAATAACACTAGTTAACATTGCCGTCTGAAATTCATTGAGCACCGGACTTGACTTCATCTTTAAGGTGATGTGTGTATTTTTCCAAATAATATGATACCAACGAATGGGAAGTGACTTCTTCAGTAGTTCAAGTACTGTGAAACCTTCTCGGGATTCTTCAGGATGATAAACTTACTCTAAAACTTCATTATTAACAGTGGTGATTATTTTCAAAATGAATACTTGTAGTGCAGACATGCAGCTCGAAATTCATTGGTGACTCTCGCTGCGTTTGTGAAAAACTTTGTTTAGCAACAAAACTTTTTCCGGCCTACTCTGTTGATTCAAAACTGCATTAGTTCCCAAAGACTTGGAATTCTACAGGATGAGATCTCGACTATCCAGTGCACTTGGCATACGTGGCTATCAAATCTTTGAGCAAAGTGTCATAATTTTCGTCACAGCTCATAAACATGACTCTACTTGAACTCCTTTAAAATTTTTCAAACCAAGTATTGTCGTTCCTGTCTCACCAACTAACAGCTCACAAGGCATGCATGTGTAGTGTGGCATCGAGTCGCGGTTGACTATGATCACTACTACAAGAAGACTACGTGCCAGTTAACCGATAAGATCCCCAATAAGCCAAATATCAGAAGGTAGTTGATGTCTGTAGTCAAGATGTATTCGTTGGCGATCTCGTCGTATCGAAAGAATACCGAGATCGTGCCAGGTTACAAGTGTGGTTACTGAGCGTAACCGAATCCATGCATGGTCACAATCAACGGAAGAGGAAATGTCTTTAGTACAGTTAAACAAACAAGTACAGTAAAACAATCCCTGGTACAATTGGCTATAATAATAATTGTTTCCATTAAACCGATCTCGTTCTCTTGATAAAAGTAGGTCACAACACATGAAAAGCCGTCATCTCTAACAATGCATCCATGTAATACTCGTTTAGGCAGTTTGCGTCCAGTAATCCTCGATATGGAAACTTTGGCAAGTCACACTACAGTGTTATAATCAAAAGATCTCAAGTTATGTACGAAATAATAAATGTATAGTTAATTATCTTCGTATAACAGCTGTCTTGATACCTGATATTAAGTAAATTCCAACAGTGTGTAATCTGGGATGTATACACGAAGCTCAGACTACATGTTATTATTGAACGGAATAGATCAGTATGCCTCAAGCACAACAAGCAAATTCGAGCAGAATTGCTTACGTGAATGCGCGAATACAGAGACGAGTAAGGATTTGAGTGAATAGTCAGATAAATTGATTGGATTCAAGCATATATATTTATACGACAGCAAATGATTAATCGTAAGATTTAAGCAACAGTTATTTGGGCTACGACGATGGGTTTATGCGTAGGCTGTCACATGTGGTAAAACAATTATATTCATACAGACAATAATAATAATGATAAGGTGAACAAATTTTTACTGTTCAAATAATACCGATTATAACTACCGAAATTTCTGTATTTATTCTGAACGCGGAACCAACGAACCAGAGTTTATTCGATCAGGTCAAACCACGTTCTATATGGTGTATTTAGTGATTTCGAGTGTTTGTATTAAATTACAACAAAACGCAAATTCTGTTTAATTTAATCGGTTCTTATTTAGGAAAGAAAACAAGTTACACCAAAAGTACAAAATGTTTCAACCAGCACAGCCCATGCTATACAGTCAAAGGTTTCTCTAGCACAAAATAACGTGTTGAAAAGCACAAGGAATGGTTAATAAATGAGTTTTTGGTACCTGGGGAGTAATGCTAGCATTTTTACAAGAGACTGAATGTCTGTCTGCAAGAATCCGAGTAATCGTACGCGATAGACAGCCAAATGTCAACAATCATCAACTGACCCCTTAGTTAAATCAAACACGGCTCCATTGTCAATGGCTTGACAACGTCCGATAGTAATATCAAGTAATAAAGGTAAGTTTTTTAACCAAAGCCAAATAACAGAAGTCCAGACAAGGAAGACCAAAGAAATTTAAATGTGGTTATAAGAGATCTAAATAAAAGCTAAGATAAAAGACAGAAAAAAGAAAAACAAATAACTATGCTGTTTCGTCAAAAACTTTCGGTTTTTGGCGTTTTCTCTCCGTTATACTGTCCGAATTGATTCTGTGTTGTTTATTTTAATCTTCCAATTGAGTTTTAGCACTGCAATTGATCAGTCTTTTATTGAGATATGTGCATCCTTTGAGGATTGGCTCGATATTGCCTTAGGTCACAAGCATTATAAGCAAACACGCATAATTAAAGGACGCGTGTTTCGTCATCCTTTAAACTCACATCAAATTTCTTATATTCCCTGAACAAAATCTTATTTTCAACATTGTTAACACGATTGGATAACCTGTTTGATAATTTTGATGTTTGATTATATTTTCATGAAAAAGCTTAAACCAGACTACCGAGTGAAATGTTTAATCGCTGAAATTTATACAAACATAATTTTCCTCATTAAATATTTCTGCATTTCGTACTACTCAAACTTGGATTAATTTAATTTGGCTATTTATTTTCTGAAGAAGTGGCTTACATCAACAAAATTAAAAACTTAATTTTTCGGCTCACTAAGAAGGTATAGTGTAATGAATATGAGAACTGTTAATAACACTGTAAAAAATTCAACATTTTGAATCATCAAACATTTTGACGTCAGAGTGAACGACTTCATCCATATTTTCCGATTAAGAGTAACTTTTAACTTGAAGAAGCCTATATATTAGTAGATTACATTTTCGGACATCATTGACCATATTATAATTTTTCCTTGATTATTAAAGCAAATGAAATGACAAATAATATCCGTTGAATTGCAAATATTATTCTTCTCTAAACCTCCAGTTCCTGCTACACTTCGGTTGACTAATAAGCTTGTGAGAATATGTGTTCATTGCACATGACAACGGTAAGAGACAGAATGTAGTTAGGCATATATATCTTTAAACAAGTACATATCAAAGCCTTCACTAACTTGAAATTACCTTGTGTCGATCCAAACTACGATGTAAAATTCAATATACTATTGACATAAAGAAGTCACTTACTGTTCTTCAGTTTACATTTCAGTGTATCGACAACATTTTCTTCTGTCCATTCCTAAACTAGCGTTGAGTAAATAATACCTTAAGTAAGTCAATAAAAAGCTAAAAGTAGTAATTGGGACTTGTAAGTATACTGTCGTACTCCCTGTCTGCTCCCCGGGAAAGGGTTTTTAGCTACTGGATAGTGTATTTATGTGTGCCTTTTTTTGATAATGCCTATTCTATTATATTTTTTCTTCACAGACCCCGTTCTAAGCGGTAAAGACTAAACAAATAGAGTCTATTAAAAGAGAAAAATATGACATTCACTCTTCTGGTGGGGATCGTCAAAGAAGCTAAAGCGTTGGTACAATTCATCAAGTTCGGGAACAGTAATATCTCATTCTCTGTCATCAGCATCTTTATTATTCGTCCGCTCATTCTGGTTTGAAAATTGTCAATGATTAAGTAGGTTGGATTTCGTCCTCAATTTGAACATGAATACTTCAGTTGCAAGAACATTTTTACTACAACTAGTAAAGTAAACATTCACATCTGATTGATCACTGAAGGATGGTAATGTCATATTTTTCTAGTCCATTTAGTTCTGATCTAATTTTGTCAATCAGCATCTAAATGACTAAACAAACATGGCTATGATCAACACTCAATAATCAATGAGTAATAAATATCACATTCCTACAGGTCATTCAATAATTTAATAATAACCTTTCTAACTGTGAAGCTTGATGGTATAGAATGAAATACGTCAGTCAACACCAGTTCCTTCAAGATTTCAGGTATACCCTACTGAAGAGTACCAAATAACATGAAATTAGTTGTAAAGTTTCATACCAACTATCTCCAATCAATCAATAATGTAAACAACCATATACTCACTTGGTAAAATTAATACAATTTGTAAGTTTGTAATCAAGAAAACATTAAAGTTAAATCAGAATAATAGAAAAATGTCATAATTCATGGATTCTGTTCAACTGTATATGTATGCACTACAAACAAATTTTTTAGTGAACAAGAACAAGAGTGGAGATAATCGGACATAGTAGAGACGCCACTACACGGCATCTCACTAAAATCTGAGAACCATATATCAAATAGTTAATTTGCAAAATATCAATCCATCGTCTCAAACTTGACTGTTCCTATTACAAATATCAGTCCATTTTCTCAGATTTCATTTTTCATGTATTTTCATACCAATTGCGTTCCGTTTCCGTTCTTTCCTTATCGATCTTCTACTGAAATACATTCTATGCCTGACTACCGTTATATACTACCACGTGGATAATAAGTACACACCACAATATTACTTACTTACACCTGTTACTCCTCGTGTAAGAGCATGGGCCTCTAACCAACATTCTCTATCCAACCATGTCCTGGGCAAGTAAACAAATATATAAACTATAAATTATTTGTAACCATTCAATCTTTTATGTATTCAATCTATGCCCTGATTGTTTTAGTATAAACAATTACATATTGATTAAGGAAGAAGCTTCTTCTTTATTTACCAAATGGCAAAATGGGAATTTTCACATATTGATTAGTATATATATTTTTTTACATTAATAAGAAATGACAATAATTAAACAACTAAATTAAAACAATCAATAAACATTGATCGGATGTTACGTCATAGCATTGATGACGTCATTTTTTTTAAAAAAAAAAAGAAAAAGTGTGATGATGATAATAATATTATATCTAATAAAGTATATTCCAATTCTATTTGTAACATAAAATGAGACTTTAATAGAAAGTTTCATTTGATAAATACTCCCATTTTATTTATTCATAATACTCAAATGAAATTTTTTTTTAAAAAAAAAACGATCTTTATGTATAAATAGAACTATCATATATGAAGAAGTAAATAGTAGAATTTTATTTCATTATTCATGTTAATTGAATATTGATAAACAAATAAAATGGTAAATTGTCATTATTTAAGAAAATGTTTATTGTTCTCTGTTTAAACGTGATACCACTCGGATAAGTGCTCGATGTTCAGCGTGTAATTTTTCAGATTCAGCACGTAATTTTTCAATTAACTAAAATATTCAAAAAATAAAACAATATGATTGAGAAATAGAAAAGTATCAAAATGGCGCTATGGAGAATCTTAGATTTTGATTGAGATCATGAATAGATCAATGTTACTTATTTACTTAATTACTTACGCCTGTTACTCCCAATGTAACTTAAGCTGACGACCAGTATTCTCCAAACCACTCTGTCCTGGGTCTTCCTTTCCAGTTCTACCCACTTTTAGTTCATTTTTCTCATTTATGTCTCCATTTCTCGGCGTAATGTGTTCTTTGGTCTTCCTCTTTTCTTTTGGCCTAGAGGATTGCAAGTGAGGGCTTGTCTTGTGACACAGTTGGGTGCTTTTCTCATTGTGTGTCCTATCCACTTCCAGAGCTTCTTCCTGCTTTCTTCTTCCACTGTAGGTTGTTGCTAATAGTGTCTGGTCAACGGATCCGAAGTATTTTGCATAGACAGCTGTTAATAAACACTTGTATCTTCTGGATGATGGCTTTCGTAGTTCTTCAAGTTTTCGCCCCATACAATGAAACTGTCTTGACATTTGTATTGACAATTCTGACCTTGGTGTTGGTTGACAGTTATTTTGAATTTCTGATGTTCTTCAGTTGTAAATATGCTGCTCTTTCTTTGCCGATCCGCCCGGAGCCCCTCTGGGCTACTGCTGGCCCCAAGCCCGGATAAAGAGGAAGAGTTGAGCAAGGGGTTAGCGACCCCATCCCGTAGAAAACTAACTCGCTAAAAAACGCTAACTAGATCAATGTTAGACCACCATTAAAAACTTGGAAGCATTGAACAGCCGTTTCGTCCTGGTATAGAACTCCTGATCTGTGCGATCTTACATACGGGTTTCGAACCCAGAACCCTTGGCCTCTCATATGAACGATTAACTTTTAAATCATTTAGCCGGCATCGAATGGCATTAATAGATAACTTCAATCAATCTATTGTCTTAGGTGGCTAACTGCCTCACACCTAGGTAAGCCACGAGTAGATTTATAGTCTGGTTTGTTAGATAAAATGATTCATTACGATTATTCTGATAAATTAATGTAATTCAAGCAATTAAATTACAGGTTCATTTTTATTGTTTATACTATCATCTAAATTCATATTGTCTATAACACTATAGTTTGATGAGTAAACCTAACAGGAAACCAGGAGATCAACTAAGAATTAAGAAATTCTTCTTTAATTATAATAACTAACAGTAACAGTAACTATGCCTGTTACTCCTCGTGAAGGAGCATAGGCCGCTCACCAGCATTCTCCATCCAACCCTGTCCTGGGCAATCCTTTCTAGCTGCGTCCAGTTGTAATTCATCGTTTTCATATCTGCTTCTATTATCCGACGCAATGTGTTCTCTGGCCTTTCACTTTTTCGCTTCCCTTCAGGATTCCAAGTTAGGGCTTGCCTCGTGATGCAGTTTGACGATTTGCGTAATGTATGTCTTATCCATTTCCATCGTCTTTTCCTAATTTCTTCTTCAGCTGGAAGTTGGTTTGTTCTCTCCCACAGAAGGCTATTGCTGATGGTATCCGGCCAATGGATGTTGAGTATCTTGCGTAGACAACTATTTATAAATACTTGTACCTTCTTGATGGTTGTTGTTGTAGTTCTCCAAGTTTCAGCTCCATACAGTAGAACTGCCTTGACGTTGGTATTGAAGATTCTCACTTTGATATTGGTTGAAAGTTGTTTTGAGTTCCATATGTTCTTTAACTGTAGGAATGCTGTCCTTGCTTTGCCAATCCTTGCCTTTACGTCTGCATCTGAACCTCCTTGTTCATCGATGATGCTTCCCAGGTATGTGAAGGACTCTACATTTTCCAGAGTTTCGCCATCAAGAGTGATTGGGTTGTTGTTTTCCGCTTTGAATTTGAGGACTTTGGTTTTCCCTTTGTGTATGCTGAGGCCTACTGATGCAGAGACTGCTGCTACACTGGCTGTCTTCATCTGCATCTGTTCATGTGTACGTGATAGGAGGGCTAGGTCATCTGCGAAGTCCAAATCGTCTAATTGATTCTGAGCTGTCCATTGAATTCCGTGTTTTCCTTCAGATGTCGAGGTCTTCATAATCCAGTCGACCACCAGAAGAAAGAGGAAGGGAGAGAGTAAACAGCCTTGTCTGACTCCGGTCCTTACTTGGAATGCATCTGTCAGCTGTCCTCCATGCACGACTTTGCACTGTAGTCCGTCGTATGAGTTCCGGATAATGTTGACAATCTTCTCAGGAACTCCGTAGTGTCGAAGAAGTTTCCATAACGTCCTCCTATCCACACTGTCAAATGCCTTCTCATAATCAATGAAGTTGATGTATAGTGATGAGTTCCACTCAACTGATTGTTCGACGATGATCCGTAGTGTTGCAATTTGGTCTGTGCATGATCGATCCTTACGGAATCCAGCTTGTTGATCTCGAAGTTGGGCGTCTACTGCATCTTTCATTCGGTTCAGCAACACTCTGTTGAAGACCTTCCCTGGTATTGACAGCAGTGTAATGCCTCTATAGTTTTCACATTTGCTCAGATCTCCTTTCTTTGGAATCTTGACGAGGTGCCCTTCTTTCCAGTCCATCGGCACTTGTTCCTCTTCCCAAATCTTTTTGAATAGAAGATAAAGCATGTTTGTAGTTGCTTCGATGTCTGACTTCAGTGCTTCAGCTGGTATGTTGTCCGGACCCGCTGCTTTCCCGTTCTTGATTTGTCTGACGGCCATTCTGATTTCTTCCTTCGTTGGTGGGTTGACGTCTATGGGAAGATCTGTGTGTGCCGCTTCGATGTCCGGTGGATTCATTGGAGCCGGCCTATTCAGGAGTTCCTCGAAGTATTCTACCCATCTGTTCCGCTGTTGTTGAATTTCGGTGATTGGCTTGCCTTCTTTGTCTTTGACCGGTCTCTCTGGTTTACTGTATTTTCCTGCTAGTTTCTTCGTTGTATCGTAAAGCTGTTTCATATTTCCTTCTCTAGCAGCTTTTTCTGCCGTCGTTGCTAGTTCTTCCACATATTTCTTCTTGTCGGCTCTAATGCTCCTCTTCACTTGTTTGTTTGCTTCTATGTATTCAGCTTGTGCTTGGACTTTCTCTGCTCGTGTTCGGCTGTTGTTTATTGCTGCCTTCTTGTTCTTCCTTTCTTTGATCTTGTCCAGTGTTTCTGTAGAGATCCATTCCTTATGATGGTATTTCTTTAGACCCAGAACCTCTTGACACGTTGAAGTCAATGCTTCCTTGATGCCTTTCCAGTTGTCCTCCATACTAGTTTCTTCTTCTTTCAGTAGATCTTGTAAGGCTTGGAACCTGTTGTTGAGAGCTATCTTGAATTCATTGAGTTTGTCAGTATCTCGAAGGAAGGCTGTATTGAACCTTTGTATTGCTGTTTGTCCACTTGTCCAGTTCTTTTTTAGCTTCAGTTTTAAATTGGCCACAACTAGGTGATGATCTGAAGCTACGTCAGCACCTCTCCTGGTTCTCACATCTTCCATTGTCCTTCTGAATTTTTTGTTGATGCAAATATGATCTATTTGGTTCTCTGTAGTGTGGTCCGGTGAGATCCATGTAGCCTTGTGTATACGCTTGTGTCGAAATATTGTGCCTCCTATGACCAATTTGTTGAATGCACATAGATTTGCAAATCTTTCTCCATTTTCGTTTCTTTCTCCCAGTCCATGTCGTCCCATAATATCTTCATATCCAGTGTTGTCTATTCCGACTTTGGCATTTAGATCTCCCATCAGAATAGTTAGGTCCTTCCTTGGGCATTTCTCAATAACTGACTGCAGCCGCTCGTAGAACTGATCTTTAATGTCGTCGTTGCTATCATTTGTGGGTGCATAACATTGGATAATATTCACTAAGATCCCCTCCTTCTTTGTTTTGAATGATGCTTTGATGATTCTGGATCCGTGGGATTCCCATCCTACAAGTGCATTTCGTGCTAATTTGGACAGCATAAGAGCGACTCCCTGAGTGTGTGGAGCATTGTCCTCTTCGTGACCGGAGTATAGCAGCATCTCTCCCGTAGCTAGCCTTTTCTGTCCAGCTTGGGTCCAGTGGGTTTCACTGATTCCCAGTACTGCTAAGTTGTATCTCCTCATTTCCATTGCTATTTGACTGGTCTTCCCGGTTTCCCACATTGTTCGATTGTTCCATGTACCTATAAAAATTTTTGCTCTGGTTGTTAGAAGGGGCATCGGCCTCTTGGCTTCCGAAGGAACTCGGCTTTCACCATGAAGCGTCATAATTCTTCTAAATGAAGACCTTCTAACTCCCAGGGCAGAGTTTAAATGGTTTGGATTATTTTTTCTGGTTAGCGTTTTTTTAGCGAGTTAGTTTTCTACGGGATGGGGACGCTAACCCCATGCCCAACCCTCCTCCTTTACCCGGGCTTGGGACCGGCAGTAACCCTATAAGAGCTACAGGCGGAGTTTTTAATTATAATAATATCTACTAATTCCTGGTAGATACCTAAAATAAAATCTACTATACAAAATTCATTATAAATACATAAATCACGTACAATATGCTTATACTTTAATTTATCATAATATGAAAATAATTGTAGAATTAGAATTTATGTATATTTAACCATGTAATCATTAACCATCTAAAATAATGATGAATTTCTTATGTTTCCTCAAGTATATCACAATTTCGGTAAAGTTTTGTTCACTGAGTTGGATGGTTTGATCGCCTCAAAACTGTAATTCTTCGCAACACTAGAGTCATTACTCAAAACTTCCAAAATAAATGAAGAGACGCAACAAGAAATAAGACAAACTATAGTACTGCTAACTTAATGGATGAAGGGCAATAACCAGTTGACTTCAGAAGAACAAAATGTTTTAAAGAAACTCAGAACTAGAAGAGATATTGTCATAGTTCCAGCTGACAAATGATGCACCATAGTGATTATGGAAAAAGAAGAATGCATCAAGAAAGCCGAAGATTTACTTGAGGATAAAAACATATACAAACCGACGAACATAAATCCAGTCAAAAATTTAGACAACCGAATCTCAAAGACTTTAAACAAGCTCGTCAAAGCAAGATTGATGAAGAATGAAATCCAATGGACCAATGCTTCCTCAATTCTAAGACAGGTCCAAAAAAATACACAAACCAAACATCTCATACAAATAAACCATCCAGTTCAGAGAACAAAACTCTATCACAATCATCCACTTGAGCTACAAATCTTTTCTACTTACTCAGTATTACAATTTTATCTGACTTACTTTAAGTTCTTGTTCACATTCTGATATTCTTCTTTCCATTTTCTTTAAAATTAAACAAACAAAATAAAAACATTTACAAATGTATCATCATATTTTCAATGATAACTAAATGAAAAATACTTAATTATAAAGTTTAATTTCACAAAAACTAAAGAAAAAACTAGTCATGCTGTTAGTTTACACATAAAATATAACTCGATGAAAGTATAATTTATGGATGAACCAATCAGATATAAGATAACAAGTTTTGGATTTTAGCGCGAAATTCATTCACTCATTTGACTAAATACCATTTTAACATTATAGCTGATATCAATAGCATAAACTACAGTATTATTCGTTTTGTAGAATCATATATAATTCATATATATAACATTTTTGACTAGACGAATGTAGAATTATGTCATTATGTTTAAAGTTCATTTTTGTGAGAAAGGATGCTTATCTAACAAAATAATTAAAGACTATAGACAATCAAAACTTCCATGTTTCCCATGGTGATCTAGCTTCAATTAACACATGATCTCAACTATTGAAATTACTAGAATCACTGCAAAACCCCTTCTGATACTAATCAAAACTACATTAAATTTGCACTTTACAATAGCTCTTTAGAAAACATTAATTGCTTTATTTCAGATTAGAACTGATTACAGGTACAGACAAATTAGTTATGACACAAAAATGAAGTGAAACTAAAGAGTTAGGAGAGTAGAACAAACCAATCTCTGACCTTAGTTTATTTAAACTTTAAATTTCTGAAAAAGACAAGAAATACACCTTGAGATTCATAAGATATTTTTCTGTTTAAATTAGAAACATATTTTAAATGGAGTTGTTATCCACACTGAAACGGAAACCAGTTGGACTACAGTTATCCTTTTATTCTTAAATAACTTGTGGATTTAGAAATAGTTACTTATCGACTTCAAATTTGTTGTTTACCTCCAATTAATGTGGTGGAACATAACTTTCGTTAAGAAGATTGCTCGATAATAATATACGATTTTCCGTACGTACATAAAACCTAGATCTCTTTGAACGACTAAAAAAATTCCTGTGTTACCAATACGATAAGTTGAGGCATTAAGTAACCTTTAAACAACATGATCAGTGGTGCAACTTTCTTCGAGACTGTGGTGTATCACTGATGCATACTGTTATTGTTTATAAACTGAAGTTTACTGTGAACTCATTTGGAAATTGTTAGATGAATTTACAACGTACTCGAAACAGGTTATTTAATTTGGTTGAAATCATTCATTTAAAGATAAGCTTTATCATACGTAAACAAGTAGATAACTGATGGTTTTTAAAAATTGGACATAAACTGAAGATGACCACCTACCTACACATGGTCATATTCGAAAGCATACACTGATTGTAGAGTATATAGGAATTACAGAAAACAAAACACTTATTTTTTACAGTTTCAGGCTTCCAAAGAGAATAAATCTAACAACAGATCGTTATAGACAGAAATGAATAGTGACTATCAGTGAGATACAGGACGTGCGTTTCGTCCTATTCGGGACTTGCCTGCTAGATATGCCTGCATCCTAGAGTTCATATTCACTCCACGACTCGAATTAATTGCCGTTCGCTTCAAATTCCATCTCTTTATCCACTTGTGCACTGAGTCCAGTTAGTTACTGGCTCCTGCAATGGGGTAGAGTTCAATAAATTTGTGTTGGTTGTTTGAATCCTTCTATTGATGTTTAGAAGTGAAACTGATTAGTCTCTCTTGGCATATGCGCGTTCTGTGAGGATATACAAACAATACAAATGAATTAAAATCGTTTCCAGTTGAATAAATACTGTCTCACATAACAGCTAATGATAATCAATTTTAAGTCAAACTGAGTGATGACAGAAAGTACTTAGTTATATAACAACACAGCTTGCGACTCATTTCAAAAAAGTAGTCACAATTTTACAATTGTTAAAAATACTTAAACTTAAACAAACCACCTTGCCAATCTTTTTAGATTCTTAGCATCATATCTTCTAAAAGAAAATTTCTAAATTTAATTCAAATAGTTTCACTTACCCTTTGTTCAACCTCACTAGGTCTTCGTCTACCAACTGAATTTTCCAAGGCGTCTTCTAATTCTTTCAGTTCTTTCTGGGCTGCTTTCACCTCTTCACGTAAGCCATTTGTTAGCAGTTTTTCTTCTTCGTATAACTGTTTGTAATTAGGTGTTTTACTTGCAGCACTACTCAAATCCTATCAGAGTAAACACAATGAAACAACCAATAAACCTTCGTTGAAATACTAAAAGCATTAAACTGCGAATAATTCCATCTATTGAGGAAGAGTAGACGTTAGAAAGAGATAAACAATTGCATACTGAAGAAAGTATACTTTAAACTGCTCCTTGCTAACACTAGTCAGCAACAAATAAATTTCCACTTTCTTGTTCGTATATATATGTTATTAAGGTAAGAAGTGAAATCACGCTAAACACAATTATCTGTTATTGCATACAGTACTCCACTAATTCAGATAAAGAGTCGTAATTATTTACCACCTTAGTTATTTCCAAAGGTTTCTAGCATTTTGTTTTTAAGTAGGTTCATCTCGTTAGCTTTTTGTTAATTTCAATGTTATTGCCCTAATGGTTCGTAACTAGTAAGATACGATATATCAGACACACTTTCTTTCCTTCATGCTTGAGATACTATCACTTACACACGAAATCGACAAGGTGATGACGGTATTGGAGAATCTCAGCTAATCATATACTCTAACAAGTTAACCATTACAAGAAGCCATGTGACTACGCAATATAACGCTTCCCGATAGTTTTACGTTTTCAAAATATCAACGAATCAAAACATAATCAATAGTTCCATCGATGGAATACAGCTGAGATGAAATGAAATCTATGGTGAGTCGAAAAGTCAGTTCTTAGTAGTTTGAGAAGCTTATGTTTGTCAGATTTTCTATTATTGGTCAGTTAACATCAGTATTTATCCCGTTCATTAAAGTTGATTACGTCACACATTCTTGTCACATTAAGCTTGCGACTGAATGCCAAAGTTTTATTTCCTTAAATCTATTCATTTCCGTAATTTCTTGATAATTGACTAAATTAATGTCTGAACATTCTTCTACTTATTAGTAGTTAGTCGAGATGGTAATTTTTGATTGTTCATACATCAAACTATCAAGTAAAATTCCAACACATTAAGAAGTTTTAAATCAAAATCATTTTATTAGAAAATACTTAGTTTTATAAGATCAAAAGTCATGATATATAGCTTACCGAATTCCATGATGAACTAGTACCTATTCCACCAACTGTATAATTTGTATTTGAACCAATTTTATTTGGTGACCTACGTGGATATTGTGGAAGTCCTGAGTAAGATGAAGTTGATGTACCAGTTCCACTACAACTGCTGCCTACACCAACACTGCCAATACCGCTCCCACTATTACTTGAAAGACCTTGTGTACGTGTTAAATACCGTGATGGCTTTGGAGTATCCGTCTAAAGTAATAGATATTTATACAGAAAAACAAATAAATATCAGAACAAATACTGATGCAGAATAATGTGAATTCATTATATTTCGTGGTTTCTCATCAGCTGCTTACAACCAAATATATTTCAGAATTTTACATAGAGGTAAGAAATAGCATGAAACAATTAACGTAAGTAAATGTAAAAAATAGAAATGGCAAGGGTAATCAATAATATATATATATATATATATATATATATATATATATATATATATATATATAGGAGCTGGTCAAATGTTATTTGGTGTTAGAATCAAGCAGACATTAAGGATGGGTGATGTGGTCGTTGGATGGAGTTCAGAGGCATTAATACTATCTTTTATTCTTTCCTAAATTCTTATTCCTTTTTCACTTGGTATTGTTTGGCTTGTATCTTCCCATTGAGGTTTAAGACTGCAATTGATCAGTCGGTTTCTTTTATTGAAATAGTTTATACATAATCTCATTTGTAAATGCACAAATTATCAATGGATTGTGAAATCTACTTTTATCAAAACAAATTTTCTACACATGCATTATTGGTTAGTAATTTAGTACTCAATACTTGGTAATGATAAAACAAATTGAATTTATGTTTTTGAACAGAATGGTGAATATATTGATATCACTGAACTGTGATAACACTATATAATACAATGTTATCGAATTGATTCTACTACAATGGGTGAGTTGAATAGTACCAAGTTCAATATAATAATAATAGCACCCAACTTAGATCCTAGATATGAAATAGTATTATCAATAGGATACTTCAAGTCGATTCTAACTATTCGCTAAAGTTGTCTGTGTGAAAGCTACTTCAGTGATATATATAATTTTCGCCAAAAAACGTTGTTATTTAAACTCTTCATATTTAATGATTGGTTTACAATGAATCTAAACATATGATTACTAGTATACTCACTCTACCTAACTGAAATATTATGATTATGGATGTAAATAGATAAATAAATAATCAAATTATACCTTCACGTACACTACTTTGAGTTAATTTGATTTTAATGACCGTAACTTGTCAATTGAGTTTAACTGTAGCTGATAAGTGTCTATTGCATTATGACTGTCATTTGATTTCTAAGTCGTAACTTCATGATCACTTATGATCAATAAAGCTAAAGAGCCTACTGAAAACTTTTACTTTTCTTAGGAATGAATTATCTACTTTTCAATATTTTACCAAGATACTAATCATACTTCTTGTTGTAAAAATCAACTATGATAGTAAATGAAAATTATACAGGTAAATTATAAGTTAATTATCCTTTTTCTTTTCGACAAGATCATTTACTTAAGCTGTATATTCATATTTAGCATTGTATGATAAATATATGACTATAGAAAGATAGAAACTCTTATTATTAAATGAGGTTACGTAATAATCGAGAGGTAAGGGGAGAATGTAAGGATAAAAATAATTTACCGGTCAAAATTATGAAAGATAATTGTCTATTTGGCAGATATCAAGTAATGAATTGTATCGTAAAGAAAACTTTATCCACTGGATTCTCTTTATTTTTATTTAATGACACAATCGGTTATTTTTTTGATGAAAAGTCAGTAAAGAATTCTACATAGAGCTACCGCGTTTTCTCGATGAAGATCAGTGAGACGATGAAGTCGCAAAGTGTCATACTGCATGAAGAAGGTACTGAAAAAAAATGAGTTTTATGTTTGATTTATATATATTTTAAGGAATTTTACTGGTTTTGATAAAAAGAAATTTCTCACGAACAGAGTTACAACGAATTTAAGATACTCCGTTTAGTAAAAAATGTCATTCGGACATACAGATGAATACTGACTGATTTAGAGATAGCCTTAATTTTATTTTATCATACAAACATTTCGTCCAAATGTCCAACCATCACTGACGGAACTGAGTAGTATCGGGAGATAGAATGTTATCAACGATCCTAGTGAATTATTGCCACGTTGTATCGTAGATAGATTGGAGTTAGACATGAAGATCAATAAGTCGGGTTTCAGTAATACTAAGATCAAGTGATTAATACAAAACCTAGAGTCCCTAGTTTCAAACACCATCAAGGTTTTGGTGTAGTGTACGAGAACACAAGTGGGGATAAACGAATGCATTTGAACACAAAATTATACAACATGTTAGTAAAATCTGAGAACCATATAGTAAATATTTTATTTGCGAAATATTAACCAAATGTCTCAAACTTGGTTGTTCCTTTTGAAAATATCAGTCAACCGTCTCAGACTTCATTGTTTTTTCGTTTCCACAAGAATCATTCTTTGTTTTCACTCTCTTTTCTTTGATATTTTTACGTTCTACCACCAACCATTTCACTTTCGATTGATGATACATACTACTTATATCTATCGACATCAGTAGCACAGACCATAATGACTGAGAAGTTTGGAACTATGTCGAAATAACTCCATAGTACCCCGTTAATCTATACTAAGTATTAGTCCGTATTCTAGACTAATTTAAAGAGAATTATCAGAAAGCATTTTGTGGAGATTTTAGAAATTTTCACTCATTGAAATCATGAGTCAATTTAATCTAGACCACCATGGAAAACCTGGAAGCACTGAACGGCCGTCTCGTCCCAGTGTGGAACTCTTCATCAGTGCGCACCCACGATATCGCACCCTGCGAGATTCGAACCCGAGACCTATCACTCTTGCACCAGGCGCTTAACCAACTAGACCACTGGGCCGGCCAGTGTCCAAAGGTGTTAATGTCTAACTTCAAACAATCCACGAAGTTGCGCGAGATTGATAGGTCCTGGGTTCGAATGCCGCGGGGTGCGTGATCGTGGGTGCGGAATGCTAAGAAGTCCCATACTAGGATGAAAATGCTGTCGAGTGCTTCCAGATTTTCCATGGTGGTCTAGCTTCAATTGACTCATGATTTCAATCAGTTAAAGAGAATTACTTGAAAAATATTGATTAAATGTGTAATTTAAATGATATTTCATTTACTTATTTGTTCATCTGTTTACAAGTTTAGTTCAATGACTTATGTGTGAAAAAAGAGATGGTTGAAAATGTAAAGGTAAACTAAGTGAAATGTTAATGACGAAGAAGAAGAATTTAAATGATGTAATTAGACCTACTTTAGATTGATGACATAACAAAACAATTGGCATACTAAATATTTCTCATTGTCAATAAATGATTACATTTTGACGCATATATATAACATTACAATACTAATGTATATTATTGTATAAATAAACAGAATCCTCTCATATAAATTAACTGGATAAGTTTGCTTGGTGTGTATGATTTTATTATTATTCTAATCATATATGAATTCTGTTGATAATAAGTTATATTGATTAAGGTAAAAATAGTTCAGCTATCTATAGAGATATTTGTTCATACTATTTTAAGTATACTATTCAAAAGTATTTACCTGACTTATTTTCAGTATTATTTCAGATATTCATTAGAAATGTGATAACTGTGTCGTGGATACACACTAATGAAGAGTCTTATACTATGACAAAATAAATATCTATTATAACTAGAGTTTCAATGGTTAACTAACTTGGATCGTTTCGTTATCTTATCAGAAATCATTCTTGATACAGTTCGACATTATTTACAAGTGATCACTTTTAAAATTATTCAGAAACAAAGGAAACCGATCATTAAACAACATAAAACTTTTCACTGTTGTTATACTACGAAATTTATAGATAAACCAATCAGATTTAGGATTACAGATCTTGGATTTCGGTGTGAGATTTGTTCACTCATTTGTCGAGATAGCATCTTGGCATTTTAGCTGATGTCGTTTCGTGTTGAAAGACCGTAAATCTATTTCCTAACCCTAACCATCAATTGTGAATCATAATCCTTGTTCTTCAAAATTCCGGTTCAGTGGTCCAGTAGCTAAGCACTCGCGCGCGAGACTAATAAGTTCTGGGTTCCAATCCCGTGATGCGGTACCATGTACGCGCATCGCTGATGAGTCCCACAATGGGACGAAACGGCCTTCCAATGCTTCCACGTTTTCTATGGTGGTCTAGCTTCAATTGACTCATGATCTCTACTCTCGAAATTGTTTTATAACCCTTATTTCGCCCTAGTAAGTCGGTAAACACTCTCAAGGCCGCTCAAGGACCGTCCATAAATTATATTCTCACCACATTTTTCAGTGCTAGATAATATCTTTCACAATAAAAGCCATTAAATAAAGAAATAAATTTCATTAGTGAAAAAACTTCTTGTTTTCTAGAAATCGTTTTGAGTAAATATGTAAAACTGTTTACACTGAGCTCTTTATTGTCATCATTGTAATGTAACTCTAGTGATTGTTGTACACTATGATAATATGAACAAACTATAGACATTTCACTTATTAAAGATTAATAGCTTCACCATTTATTACATAGCATTTAAGTGATTGATGTGCTGATGAAGACAAAATGAAAGTGGTAGCTTAAAGTTATTTAACTTCTCTTACTTAATATCATTCTAAGTTTATTGATCGATTTCTTTTCTTTTATTTATAAATCGTTGTAAACTATTCACAGTTATGACACTTCAAATGAAGTTTAATATGAATAATATGATAAGCATTACATGTTTATGTTAAATGTAACGGGTTTTGATATTCTTAAATGAATTTAATCGACTTCAGTAGTATATGAACTGAAAGAATTTACTTGAATAGTGATAGACTGAGGCAATTAGACGTATCAGTTGAACACCTAAGTATTGGTGAGAAAGTTTGATAGATGAATGATTTTACTCAAAGTTTGCCCCCAAATTGATCTGTTTATGTTAATTTATCAAACGTAAGTCGAAATTACAAATAGATTTAAGATAGATAATTACTGACAATTTTCGGACACAGAATGACCGTTTGTCTTAGTATTGGACTCTTCAGCAGTCCATATCCACAACCCCGAAGTCCGGAATCAAACCCAGGACCTTTAGTCTAGCACGTGAAAACTTAACCTCCAGATATTTCAGTCGGCATTAAACGGTGTTAATGTATAACTTCAATCATTGGTTCCATGTTTCAAAGGTGGTCTAGATTAAATCAAACCATGATTTCAACTGTGAAAATACTACAAACTCCGAAAATCTTTTGTACTACTCATAAGTTGCATAATTCACCCAGTCTATCAAGTGATAAACTACTGGTTATCTAGATGTAAAATAAACAAAACCATCATCCAATATTCAAATATGCTTTTCTATTTGCGAAATCTCTAGATGTTTGTAATATATAGTATAGTATAACACGTTAATCATATTATTCTGTGATAATCATTAATGAAAACCTTAATTTTACATCGTTAAGGTCATTGCATCATACTTATCATTGGTATTACAACAACTAAACAAAACTTTTATTATCCTATATAAAGAACTTATAGCTTTTAAGTTTAATGGGATCAATTAATCAAGCTACATTGATCTATAGTCATGTGCTATTTACTTGAATGTACTTTCCGTTATAAATCTTCTCTTTATGTTTTTGTGAAGTATTTCTGATCAACTAAACGTTTTTAACACATTTAAAACGATAATAAAAATCTTTATAGGCAAAGACAATTGACTGCTAGTAGTGGAACCCAAGGCGCGTTTCGTCCTATTTGGGGCTCGTCAGCTAGATGTGTCTACCAATAAGAGACTGATCAACTGTAGTCCTAACAAACAGTCAAACAAACAATACCAAACGAATAATGAAAATCTCCTTCGAAGGGAAGATAATTTATAATAAATGGGGATAATTCATCATTTTATCATTGTTCAAAAGAAGTATAATATCTGTTAATTCCTTGCATTTCTCTGTTTATTTGATAAGTGAATGTTGTATTAAATAACGATTTCACTAGAATCATTTGAATTTATCGCTACGTGTGTGCTCTGTGAACATAAAACTGTTACATTGTTGTTACCTGCAGAATAAAAAAAAGTAATCGATGTGAGATTTATAACTAGAAATGATATTCTCATTATCAATTAGGCTTTTATTTATATCACTCACTCACAAAATGAATGGAAAATGCCTAATACTGCATATAAAATAAACATCAAAGAATGTATGCGGTACCTATTCATGAACATCAACTCTATTTTATATGATATATCTTGGGTTTTAATATGAGTTATTCTTATATTTTGTTCGTTCTAAATTCAATATGTGAACACGTGTAGTAGTTTAAGTTGCATTTAAATTAGGATGCCCTTGTGATAATACATTATTAAACAATTGATCTATTATGTCACCTCTACATGAAAACGAATCAACACGTACAAAAATGGACGTGTATACATTTTGTTCATCAATAGATTCTACGTTGAAAAACAATATACTCAATTTGATAGGTTCTTTAGAAAGTAAAGATCTCTTGTCACCTAAGGTATATATGTCATGAGTTTGATATCGAGAAATAGTTAATAGTTAAAATGACTCATTGAAGTGAGTTACTGAATCTGATCAAAAAGAAACACGCAACAGTATTTCTATCAGCTGGATTTATCTATTACTGAATAATAATACTTATTATTTTGATTAGATGAAAATAAACACAAGAATAACGATGTCCAGTTAACAGAATCATGTGTTGTCAATACGATGGATACACATGATAAACAAATGTTCACTATATATATATACCTGTATCCAATGGTTGAATAAACAAGTCAGTTGAACAGATTTGGAAAACAATCATTTGTTTACAAAATGAATAATCTCTTGCCATGAACAAAAAAACAAAATTGGATGAAGATTCTGTTCTATTAATGAAATAATTGTGATTACATTAAGGATAAATACATTCAATCAAATGACCATTCATAGTTAATATGTATTGATGTGATTGGGTTGATGTCCGCTGATAGACAGAAGTAAAAAAGCTGTTTACCTTTTAGACAACACTGTTAATAACTGTTATGTATGATTGAGTTTCTTTAGAACAAGCTTGAATATAATTCTGCGATTTCTAAAAATAAGAACCTGAGTTAATCTGAAACGAGGAAGGGTAGCTGGTCCAGATGGATTGGCTCCTGAGGTCTTTAAGGATTGTGGTTTAATTTTAGCGATTAGGTTGACTAATATTCTAGCTAATATCTGGGAGTTGGATGTAATCCCATCTGACTGGTCACAATCACTGATCATTCCAATGTATAAGAGATGGTCAAAATCATCCTGTGGCAACCATAGAGGGATTAGTTTGGTTAACATAGCATCTAAAATACTAGCGTTAATAATTATCGGTCGCCTAACTAAGACTCGTGAACTGCAAACACGAGAAAATCAGACTGGCTTCAGACCTGGTCGTGGCTGCATTGACCACATATTCATCATTCGTCAGGTTCTAGAACACATACAAACTTTTATTTAAATATTACCACCATTGAACTAACTACTTCTATGAGTCTGGTGTTCATCTTACTGTGCTAATGAGATATGGGAACTTGGACCGATGCATATATATGCCCTGTCCTAGATTGTAGCTGAGTGACTGACTGAGTCAACCAGTTTCACAGTTTTAGACACTACTATTGCTGACTGAATAGCGTAGTGGTGATGTGAAAAATTATATGTTCTCGTTATCTAGAACTATATACAATCTTGATTAAACTGACGCTTCCTATGAGATTCGACTCAGCGTCATCCAACTGTCCCCAACGAATTACTCAAGATGCAACAGAGTAGCACTGTCGTATAATTCTCACGTTTTTCAGCCTCTTATTATCATACAACGGAAATTCCTTTCAAGAAATAACAAACAGCTTTTTATCATCGTCCAGTAATCACTGCATATCAGAATATACTAAAACTTTTCAATAATTAGCGTGATCGTAGTCTTCAAAAATCAAAATATAAAGTATTATAGTCAACATCACAGACTGACCTTAGCTAAACAACTACTGAAAAAGAGGGAATTAGCTGAGAGATGTTACGTCTTAGTATTGGACTATTCAACAAAAAATATCTACAATCTCACTCTATCAAATTCGAAAAGTCATCATAAACCATCTTTAGAAAATTGCATTGTTTGATACATTAAAACAAAAAGTTACGAAGTTTACATTTCACTGGTGAACATATAGGAGTTCAATTTTATCTTCCAATATGTGATTTCGTCAAATATGAATAAATTTTATTTAATAGCTAAACATTTATAAATTTTAAGTGTATTTGAATATGACACGGACTATTGACTTCTGACCAGTAACAAAATGAAAAGTTTAATATATGATCCATTGTAAAGGGTGCGAACATATTTGAGCGTGTTTACTCTGTGGGAATTTAATTGGTAACTAATCTTTACAATCTCTCATATGGAAAATGATTTAAATGCTTGAACCAAAGAAACTCAGATTAGGATTTTCATGACCTCATTGAGTACTTAGTGATCAATATTGAAAGCATTCTACTGTAACAATTCATACCAGTCTTATAGGTGAACGCTTTTAAGAAAAATATGAATCATCATGGAAAAACATATCACAAGGATTAATATGGCTCAAGCGACCTGCCTGATTTTTATTACTGAAAACTTTGAATCGATTTCAGTAGTAGAAGAATTCAGATATGTAATAAAAACCTTAATGTATATTACAGTACGATTTTCTTCGGTTTAATATTTCTTATTCTGAGATACCACACACATTCAACTACTGACATATTGAAAGAAATTAAGCACACACTATACATAGTTACACCGAATACGTATGAAGATATATGGTATAGAGATTTCAGTAATGTTTATTCATGACGTAGTTATTTTGAAAAAAAAATAAATCCAGTTTCTACACTGTATTCAGTGTACTGTCTATATTTAATACTGGGAAACAAGAAATGTTTATTATTTTGCAAAAATAGTTGTGCGAATTCAGTCTAAATTAATCGATACATCTATCGAGCTTGTACAGTCATAGGTGAATTTTTTAATGATTCATTTACCCGGGTATAGAATTGATTTATGTATTTGGTTAAATGTTAAGGATAGTGATTCCATGTTTGGCTAAGCCAAAATAGATGGAAAAGTTTTTATCCTACATCTTAGTGACGGAAAATTGAACTCTGTAACCACGGAGACATATTGAATGATAGATTGTTTATATCACAAACTAATATTAACTGGAGGAACCAGTAAAGAACAAAGAATACTAGAAGACTGCTTCGTTAAATCTAGAACAATTTATTCTTACGACAATGCATTAAAATTGAGTGATATAAATTTTCAACGATGGTTGATTGATGATAACGCTTAATATTTTGCCAGTCACAATTGTGGTTACCCGCTTCACTTCAAGCATAACAGAAGTCCACTATTTATAACTTCATTTGTGAAATTTTAATTTAAGTTTTGAAGTGGCTCAATTA